TGGAGTCCCTGGCCAGCTGCGGGGTGGCACGGCCCGGAGGGGCTTAGGGGTGAGGGCGATCGCTTGCATTTCAGTTCTCCATCAGCGCGGTGACATTGCTGGGGAGTGCCCCCGCACCTGTGCCAGGGTGGGATGGGACGGGACCGTGCTACCTCTCTGACAGTGCGAGGGTGATGGCTGAGGTGCTGTGGGACGGGGGGCCCAGGCGCCTGGGGCTTCCTCCCCACCCTGGGGGCTGTCCTGGAGCCTGGTCAGCCCTCTCGCTGGGGGAGAGGAAGCCACAAGTTCACGCACTGGGAAGGCACATCCCGTAGCCAGCAGCAACCCAGTGCCACTTGCTTTGCTGAATTACTAGAGACACTTCATCTTGGTGAAGTAATGTAGAAAAAATACTAGTTATTATTTGCCTTCTTCATCCAGAGACCCCGTCACCCATCTTCATCCCTGTGACACAAACCTCTATTCCTGTCATAACCAAGAGGAAACTGCAGCACAGAGAGATTAAAACCAAGACTCAGGAAAGCCAGCAGCCTTATGCTAGTGTCTCTGACATGATGTTCTGAATCTGAGGTGTTGGCCACTGCAGCACCTATCAGAGACCAGTTTGGAAATGCTGGCTTAGGCGAGAAACAACCATGTTCTTCTTATTCCAGACCCAGCAGAGCCCAGCACAGAGCGGTCCTGGCTGTGTGAGAAGCTCTGTTGGTGCAGGCAATGGAAGAATGCCAACTCGCAGCAGCTGAGGATCTGGTTCCTCTTATGTTCTGTTCTATTTGTGCATGGACTATGCTGAAACCTGCCAGCGATAGCTAATAGCTGTCCTTGGCTCTAGAGCAGCCATCAGACTTGGACAGTGCCCAGCCTGAAGATCAAACTTCCATCACCAGGATGACAACTGGGAAAGGAGGGTGGTGGGAAAGATCATCTGCCCCCAGCTCTACCTTTGTAAGCCATGGGCCCTGGGCCACACTTGTGCTCAGCCTCCCCAATCTGGCCCTCTGCAACCTGGACCAGAAAGGGCTTGGGCACAGAAATACCCTCATCTGGACGTGGAACTGGTTGTCTAAGCCATGTCAGAAACCTTTCACACAGGGCTGTTAGGTCTGCAGAGCTAGGTCTCTGGGCTTGGGAATCCTTCAGCACAGTCAAGACCCTGAAAGCATGAACAAGAGCCCCCATTCCTACTTGACCAGATTTTGAGCTGGCTAACTTTAACCTAGCCTAACTTTATTCAGAGGAGCAATGCACGGCAGCACAGTGTGTGGTCCATACAAAAGGGGTCTTATCCAAAGGCTTTAACATCCAAGTTCCAGTGGTTTTCCAAAACTGACACTGCATTGAGATGAAGGCCTAGCCCATTTTGTTTCCAAAATTCAGGAGCTGTTTGAGATCTAGGGCCATACTTTGCAAAGCCCTTGGGCCTGCTTCGTTCCTTTCACTTAGACTCTTTTTCCACTTTTTGTTTCCTTGGTGGTGGCTTTTTTAAAAAAGTGAATTATCGTCATGGAGATTTTCCCTGAATAGCACAAATTGATGATTCTCTCTGAGCAGCTGCTCGGTCTGCCCAATATCCGCTCAACAATTCCTTCCCTTTCCCTCCTGGGCTGTAGCTGCTGCTGCTGTTTTGGCACTCAGATTTCAAATTTGTGATTGTTGTGCCCAAGCGTCCACTACACCTGAGCTCCACTGTGGTTAGTAATGGCTGGGGAAATCCGGGTGCCACATGGTTTAAACTAGGCGTGCATGGTTTGGTGGTCAGTGAAGGACCTGGTCCCTTTCAGCTGCAATGAACTCGTGTCTTAGCTTGATGTTAGGTGGGACCAGACCAGAACTGCTATCTTCACATTTTCTAGAAATTCATGGGAGTTTGATGGCTCCCAGTCTCCCAGGCACTTCAAAATCCCCCAGCAGCTCCTGCTCCACAAAGTTGTTCACAGGGAGCTGTGAGACAAATCCTGTGTGTGTGGCAAGAGATTTACCTGCTCGGGGAGACGCAGGACAAGTGCTGTGCAAGTCAAGGTGGCTACTCAGGCTGCTGACTGGCCACTGGGTGGCCTGATGCTGTTTGCCTGGTACAATTTCTCTGCTTCAGTTGTTAGTGACAGATGTGAATCACACCGTTCAATGCAGTTATGGACAGCAGTAAGGCGTCACAGTAATGGGAACTGCGCAATAACCTTGCCTAGAATAGAACAGAGTGGAGCTGAACAATGGCTCATTTCTCTTTGCAGGCACATCTTTTTCTATTCAGAGCTCATTAACCCCTGTGTCCCGGCTGCATTCCAGTCCAGAGATGTAATGTCTGCTAAACTGCAGAGAGATTATCAGAGGACAGGACTGCTGCAGTAGTTCTCAGGGATGGCACTGCTCGGGTCCAGAGGTAGCTGCATTTTCATGGAAGCAACTGCTGAACTAATGTTATATACAATGGGTTTATAAACAAAGTTGTGCAAATACTTCCTGTAGGATCATCCCATGGCATTTTGCAACTCCTGCTCACTTGCACAATAGAAGCATGAAGCAATTAAAGCCTTTCATGTTTTCAGCATGAATAGCTCTATCAAATTTCACAACTCCAATCCAAAATTGGACTCATTTTAAAATTAATATTGGTAATTAGCAGTGCATGACTAAGCTTGAGTGGGTGCTTTCATGGGGGACTTGAGAAATACTCAGTTTTTAGTAGCAGATGTGGGACTGGTGCAACCCACTGCTTTAAGGAAGCTGCCTTTCCAGAGCGCATGGGATGAGGAACTGTGGGGCGATGGATAGTGCAGTGACTTACCAGTCACCAGTGACTATCACAACAGGGAAGTCCTACTTTGGATTCAGTAAAAAGCATCCTGAGATGTGGATGCCTCACAGCTGGGTGCCATTTTATTGGATGTGTTCCCACTGATAAATTTAAGGGGATCCATGTAACTTTCCAAAAATTAAAAGCAAGAGACAGAAGTAGGAAAATGCTGTATCTGCCAGGGTGGATGGAGGCCACCTGGCTCAGCCTGGAGCAGACCAAAGACAACAGTTCTGAGGTTGTCCCCACATAGGTCTGCCAGGTGCCTGCAAGGAGGCAGAGCTGAAGCCGTGAGCGGGGAGCATATCACTGACTTCAACTGAATCAGGCATGACTTTGGGGACTCTCAGTACACCTGAAAAATCTTTTTGTTATTTTGAGTGGACACCCATGAGCTGCTCTCAAAAATTATTCTAGTGAATTAGGCTTCGGAAAAGGTTGTGCCTGTTTCTAAGAGATCTGCACTGTTCATTTGTTCTTATTCTTCCCTAGGCAGAAACCAGTGTGGTTCCTATGAAGAAAAACCATCAGCAATGAAGCTACAGGATAGGTCTCACATGTGGGTCCTTGATACAAAGGGCAGCTCTCTGCTTCTGTAGCTGATGGGTGAGGATAACAGCTTGGTAAAAGGAAATACCAAGAGCTGGCAGGATGAGTTACAGCTCACCCTCTGTGCATGACTTGTATCACAGCACCACCACCACGGCCAGGCCAGACCCCGGGACAACTCTGGATGTGACTGTACCAGAAACAGCTACCGTAAGCCCTGAGACCACCAGTTTCAACAGCACCAAAATCCCAGATGTCACCAGCACTGGACCCAGCATGAGCACAATGCTGCTGTCCTTTGGGATCATTACTGTGATTGGGTTGGCTGTAGCTATGGTAAGAGAACCCTGCTAAATATTTCTCTGTCGAGTGTGGAGGGTATCAAAGGGGGTCTAGGACTGATTTGGGTTGAATAATTTATTTGCATTCTACTAAAGACTCACCCAGAACTGCTGGGAACTGATAGTTCCTGAGACCCCTTTCTTAGTAAGGTCTTGATCCAGTGCTCCAATGTTTCTGCAGTCTCCCTGAGGTCTAGTCTGAAGGGGATGCTCAGCAGGCCTAGAGGAAGCCATATGTACTGTCAGGTTTTTTTTTTTAATAGCAATAGGAAGTTCAGTTAAAAAAACACGAAGCGGATTCTGTTCTGACTTGTTATGAAACCACCATAATCTCCCCTGTGGACATGCCCTTTTGAATTAAAGTCACCTGAATAGACTCATTCAACTAGGCTCATTCTGGGCTGCATTTCCAAGGCTCTACTTGCTGGGTATCAGCAAAGTCCTTGAGGATTTGCTGCGTAACTAACCTTGCCATTAATGCTGTAGGCAGAAACTTGCAGAAACTATAGTTCTGGGCCTGACACGGGCAATGCGAGCACTGCAGTTTGTCTTTTGATATATAACCAGCTCATTTACCTGCCAACAGAGAACAGAAGGTAGCGGCAAGCTCCCATTCCTCATATGAGGAAGAGCTTCACTAATACCACCATCAGAGGAGCCTACAGAAAGGGACTACTGCAAAATTTCATTGCAGGCCCAAGGAGGAATTTTTCCAAAAGCTCCTAAGAGAACCTGGGAACGTTATCCTGGAAACGGTCATAAGCTCCCAAGAGCAACATCCAGCGTTCGTAGTTCTCAGAACAAGGCTCTGGAGGCCAAAAGCCTCACTTCCTTCCCAGCGCAGGCACTCTTACTGGCTGACACGAGGCAAGTCACTGAGCATGCCCTCTTTGCTTCTTCCCTTTATACTGGGGAGGGGGTAACAGCACTTCCACACTGTAGGAATTCTACAGATGAAAACCACAAAGGGGAGGGTTCTTCATCCACTCTTAAATTGCAGCATATGTCCTGCAGCCACCAAAATGTGCTGAGCTACACCTAATGCACCTAACACTCTTACTACTACTAATACACCTAACAACAGGCTACTCAAGCACTTCGTGTCAGACATAATGTGCTACCGAGCTTACACTCATGCATATGAAATTTCGTTTTCAGTTGTCACTCCTGCCTTCCCCCTGCTTTGGTGTGCAGTGACACCAGACTTGCTATACCTCCTTTCTGTGTGCCCTGTGCCCAAAATTTCTCTTCTCAGCTGTTCCCCATCCTACTGGGACTATTGTAATGATGTTTTTTTTTTCTCCTTCAGGTTCTGTATATCAGGAAGAGGAAGAGGTAAGTAATGTCTGTTGTTGGCTGAAGGGAACTCAGTGCTTCAAAATCCAGAGGGAGCTAGGAAGGAGACAGGGAGATGGGGAGAGTGTAAGGGATGGCTGTCTGAGAACAAGCCTATGGGGAATCAGGTGTGTGTGAATGAGGCAGAGGACGCTGCACTCCTGATATTGGCCCACCTTCTAACAACAGAGCTTCAAAGAGTCCTCCACAGCTTTGGAAAGGAAAATGTGGTTGAGCGGGAAGAGGTTAGGGGTCTGGCAAACTCTTCATGCTTCATCTACAAGATGCACTAAAACAGAGGAAAGGGTTATGAGTATATAAAGAAGCTGAGAACTCTGTCATGAGAGGTGTGGATATCGCGTTTCAGCCATTCCCAGATCCCTGTTTTCCAACAGCCTGGGCCAATGACAGTGGCCTTGCAAGGCTGAAGGCCTCTTTAGCTCCAGCCACAGCAGCTGGCAGCAGCAGAGTGCAGAGATGCAGCTCTTTAGCCCAAGACTTAGTGTCTTAATTTTCTTGTTAAGCTCTTGGCTGAAAATAGAGAGGAGAGCAGCACAGAGGGAGACAGGCATCTTGATTCTTCCATCTCTGACAGCAGAGACATTGGTAAAGATCCATGAGATGTGGTACCTCTTCCCTGCCACCTCCTTGTGGCAGGCCTGGCCTGGCCATGGACTTCCAAGAAGTGCTGCTGCCCACTGTTAATTTTCCAAGCCAGATCCTGAAGCCCAGATCTGGGTACTGCCACAGGAGAAGCTAATGCTTGGCCCGTGAACATAGCGCTGCTGGAGATAATGGTTGTGTTGGCAAACCCATGTAGAAGCAGGGAGGGAATGTGTCATCCTAACACTTGCCAAAATAGATATTTGTGGTGACACTGCCAGTAATTGCTTGTGTGTTTCCCTCCCCCACTCCCAAAACTCAGTTACAGCCTAAGGCAGGGCTCAGTGTTTTCACAGGAGCGTGCCCACCCATCCATCCTCCATCTCTGAGCTGAGCTGCCCAGTATTTAGGGAGACCCCTTGGGGTAATACTTTATAGCTCTGACACTTGGAGCAATGGTACAAGAGTAAGAACAGTCTGTCCACAGGCATCAGCCTCCTATGAGAATCTCTTTCCTATCTTCTATTTGTTATTATTTTCTATTTATTTTTATGTATTTCAGCCCCAGAGTTAAAGTACTACTCTGAGGCCACTGGAGCTAAAAGTGGACTTACGCTGGCAGGCGTAGAGCAACATGGCAGGACTGGCTGTCTTGAGCAGAGGGACAGGGGGAGAAGTCACAAAATGCCTAGCTAGTATGTTCCACTGTCTCTTTTGTCCCACCACATAAAGCTTGATCTTTTAAGGTCTGCAAGAACTTAAATCCCTGTCTGATTCTTCTGTGCGTAATGCCTGCCAATATAGATTAGTGATGGCAATTAATCCCTGTAACTGCACTCTGGGTATCTTCCACTCCTGCCAGCTGTGCGTAGTAGGTTCTTATCCTCATCCCTGCAGGACAGGACATGACCCTTATCCAGCAAGAGCAACAAGAGCAGAATCACTGTGCAGCAGGAGAAACAGCCTGCAGAAAGCCTCAGCAGTGGGGTGGGGAAGGCAGCCTGAGCATCTGTCCTTCTCAGCCAGCCCTTTCCCCTCCCTTCCACTGGCAGGTTGGAGAAGCTACGGCACCAGCTCATGCCCATGTACAACTTTGATCCCACCGAGGAACAGGATGAATTGGAGCAGGAGCTGCTGGAACATGGGCGAGATGCAGCATCTTCTCAGGCATCACAGAGTAAGGTAGGCAGCAAGGGCCAGCGAGTCTGTTACTACAACCACTGGTATCTACACTGTTTTTGTTACAGAGTCAACAAGTTTTTGTAGGGTTGTAGGGTAAGGAAACCACATAAGACCTCAGGAGGACTTCCCCCCTCTCTGTCAGCCCTAGAGATAGGGGGCTTGAGCATTTTAGAGTGCTTAGGGTGGACTGACAAGTCAGGCAACTAGGATGAAGGGCCTGGGGAGGCAAAGTGCTGGCTCTACACAACTAGCAGAAAGAAAAGGGCAACTTCAGTAATTAAGGGTGAGTTTACTACAGTTTACCACCCAGGGCACCACAAGGGAGCAGTAGGATGAATGCCATCTTCCGGGAGATGGGGCTTGAATGCCCTCAAAGCACTGAGGCTCCTTTGCCCTGGCCCTGAAAAGCAAATAATTTCTACCCAGTTTTAAGGTATCCCTGCTTTGCCTAAGGCTACAAGTGGGGAATGAGGCCTTGCTGAGGGAAAGCCTGTAAACGTAACAGTTAACTGTGCTGCAAGCCCTGAAGAATGCAGGCAGAAAGCCTGCACATTGCTGTGGCATGGCACATCTGGTCTTGTCAGCTCCTCCAAGCCAACCTTGGTGGGCACAGAGCAGGCATGGCTCAGAAAGAGAAAAGGGAGGGGAGTTCTCTATTTGAATTTGGGGAGAGGGGAAGAAGGCTTTGCTTTGACCACTTCAGAGTGTTCAAAGGCATGCAGCATGCTGAGAAATGATAAGGTCCTCAGAGACTGCTGGCTTATTACCTTTGTGAGTTAGGAGAGAGCTTGATAGCTTGGCCAGTTGTTTGTGGTTAATGGTCCAGATGGATCTTTCACAAGAGGCTATCTTCTTCCCCAGTGTACCAAGAGGTAGGAGAAATAGGGAAGAAGGGCTTCTCACCATCCTTTGCAGGCAGCTTCACAGTGTTTTCTGTTTCCTTTGTCACCACCACCACACAAAAAGCCTTTCTGAAAGACAGAGCCAGCAGGGATGGTTGGAACAGGTACGTCTCTTAGCCAGTGATGCGGCCTCCCCTTAGAGTAGACATCTCTCCTTTCTTGAATTCCTCTCCAGCTGCTCCGTGTTGCCCCTGTCTTCCCTTGCTTTTCCAGTTCCAGGAGCAGGAGTTCACCCAAACAATTCTCAGTTTCCACACACTTTACGCCTTCAGATAATCTGTAGCAAGCTTGGTGTAAGCAGAAAGGGA